GCAATGCCCGATGTGCCTCTTGCCCCCTCACTTCCTGGATGCAAGTACCCCAACATGCTGTCTACTTCGGGTTGAATCCAGAACAATTTGACACGGGTTTCTTTACTAAATTCTGTTACGGAAATCAGATCAGTCACCTAGATTGAACGGGTCAGATTTACGCTTCCTGTTTGGGGTTCAGGGCTTGGGGTGTGCTGTTGATTTCAGCCGCTACTCCTTTCTGAACTTGAGCAAAAGCAACCTTCTAAACCGTAAACGCGGCTTCTGTGGCCCGCATGCCCTTTCAAGGATTTTGGCTTGTGTATCGCCAACTGATGTTAAAAATAGTGGGTGGGGGGGTTGTTAGGTAAGGTTTAGGACATATGAAGTTTCAGCAGTTTCGCGAGACTGACAAGCAGGCATCCGGAAACCCTATGCCTGGAGCTTTACAAGTTTACGAATTTGTAGACTGAAGCACCGGATGCCAACGCCAACCGACGTGCCCGAATCTCCAAACCCCAAGACCAAAGTCCCCGATGTCAAAAGCCGTACATGCTATGCGCCGTCAGGACTTAACACGACCTCCGGAATTCCGAAACCTTTGCCGCGAAAATTACTGAGGTCTGAATCTCGAAAGCTCTTGCCGGAAACCGTGAACCGAAGTCCACTTGGCAGCTACGATGTTGTTTGGGAGCAAAGCTACACAGGAAACGAAACCACCCTCAGCGCAACCCAACAAGCGGTTTTCGTGCTGTGCAACATCCAGTGTCCCGAAAACCATGCCATCAGCCCCTAAAGCCCCAATCCGTTAACTTGAAAACCGTTTCGAACTCTCAAGTTTTCACCCCTATTTCTGCCGCTCTAAATGTAAAAAGATGCAGAAACCATGTCCAAACTGCAAGCCCCGGGCCTGACCAGGTGTTGTGCGGATGAGCAGATCCAGTAATACACATGTTCGAACAAGCCTGATTAGTTTGGCTGGAGTCTGTCACTGAAAAAGGCAGAGTGATGGAAGCTCGTGCAAAACAGGCAGAGCTTGACAGGTGCTAACAGACCACACTCGCAACTGGTTTGCTCCCTGCTTCCGTGTGTGCGTGTGTGTGCCGTCGTCATGGACAGCAGCAACCACATCAACTGGTGATGTCGGTCACCGGAAAGCGCCTGCTAGGGCATGGTTTATGCTCATGTCAGTCGAGCGCCAAGCCTTACGCTCAATGAGTCCTTGAACCCTTTTCCAGAGCCTGTGATCACGCAGCAAGGAACCCTAAACCGTCAATCTAAGACCCCCAAAGAAGCCTTACAACTCGGTATGGGGTCTTGCGCACGCTCGACAAAGCCTGAGGCCGCAAACCTTCAAAACGCTGCAAATACTTCGTGGCGACGGGTCGAGAATCTGCTTAGGGGACTGGCCGTGCTGCTGAAGGACTGTTGGGAGGCGGCGCGCACTTTTGGCACACGGAGAGCTTACAAATAAACACCTTGACTTCGGAGATAGTTATGTTTCAAGCCGCGAGTTTACGGCTTATTGTCTCTTGAACCTCTGCTGCTGCGTGTATCCGCGCTACCTAAATTCTACACCCGGGTTCGGGGTAGGGCTCGTTATGAAAGAATTAACCCCGAAACCTTAAACCCTAAGCCTCAAACCCACTGCCCTAAGCCCTAAACCCTAAAGCCCACAAAGCCCGGAACCCCATTCGAGCTAAGGCGTCGGCGATCTGAGGCATCATGTGGAGGCCTCGGGCCTCATATCATGGCTTCTTGAAGGATGGGCTTGATAAAGGGGCCTTGCCGTAAACACAGAAAAACTGTAGCTAGATTGTGGAATCGGGTTTTGCGCTTCGTCTTCATAGGGGCCTCAATCATTAGGTGATTAGAATAGTGTTTTAGGATTTAGGCTTTGTAGGGGCCTTCAGAATACATCCTAATACATGGTTCTGCAAGGGTTACTGTAAGGATTCCTACAAGGTTCAAGCTCAAGACAAGGGCCTTAATAACCTGAACAAGGTTTGGTGGTGTATTCAAGACTCTCACAGTAAGAAACCCTAAACCCTAAACCCTAAACCCTAAACCCTAAACCCTAACCCCTAAGGACCATAAAGGGATGCTGGAGCTTCTTCGTTTAGGGTTCAAGAACTCTTCCAGGGCTTGGGGAGGGTGTAGAGTTGAGGGCTGAGGGCTGAGGGTTGATGGCATGGGGTTTGGAGTTCAGGGTTTAAGGTTTAGGGCATAGGGTTTAGGGCTTAGGGTGTGGGGTGTAGGGTTTAGGGTTTAGGGCTTAGGGTTTAGGGCGTAGGGTGTAGGGTGTAGGGTTTAGGGTTTAGCCTTGAGAGCTTAGGGCCCTAGGGTGTAGAAGCGCCAGGAAACTGCAACGCGAAATCTTGCCCAGCGAAGCACCCTACCAGGAGACCCGTGACCCCTAAACCCCAGACCGAAGCCCTCAAACCCTAAAGCAACCATGGGTTTAGGGTTTAGGGTTTCGGGTTTAGGGTTTACACCCAAGTGCAGAGAAGACGAGACGCCGAGAAGGACACACGCTCCTGAACTAAACACTGCGATGTAAACAGGGATGAGTTCATAGAGATCCTCCAGTTTGTTTAGACTATCCCCGCGCCCCCTACTCTCAGGGCACTCCGATCCCTCAACCCTCCCCTCAGGCCTAAATGCTGAGCCACGATAAGGGTTGCCCCTTCGGATAACTAAACCATTCCCGAGATTCCAAAGACCCAAACACCCTTAAAAAGCCCTCACAAACACCCAAAACCCCCTGCAACCCCAAAATCTGTGGCCTAAGTCCCGATCTTGGGGCCTACGTTTAGGGTTTTCCAGGGTTTTATAGGGTTCAAGGCTCCTACCGCCGTCCAATCGCAATGGCTACCCGGCAAGAACACGAACCTACGACATCAGCACATGTCCGGAATGGGATGCCAGGGGCCCCAGGCCTGCCCCCTAAACCCTAAACCCTAAACCCTAAAACCCTAAAACCCTAAACCCCTAAACCCTAAAACCCTCAACAGCCTGCCCCAAAATCTGAACTCCAAACCTCCATCTATTTCTAGGGGCCCAGCCGGAACCAGCCGCTAAACCTCGCTCCCTGTTGTGCCTGTACGCAGGAGGTTTTGGTTGTGGGTTGGTCTTCAGAATCTAATGCATACTTTGCGGTTAAGGGCTTGAGATTTAAGCTTGATTTTCGGGCCAAGAGTGCATGTAAGACCCTCAACATCCCTTAACTCTATACCCTAAACCCTCAGCAACCCCGAACCCTAAAGCCTGAACATCCCTAAGCTCGAAACCCTGAGCATCCCTAAACCCTCAACATCCCTCAACATCCCTAAAACCTGAACCCGCAAAAACCCTAAACCCTGAAACCATGAAGCTGTAGGAGCTTTCGGGGTTTTGGTGGTTCAGTGTTTGGAGGGTTTCGAGCTCCCACCTGCACTTTTCCAAGTCCTCCTGGGGCTCTATAAGGCTTTGGGGTTCAGGGTTTAGGGTTTAGTTAGGGTTTCAGGTGCTGTGCTTCGAACTCCGCCCGCCCCTTCTCCCTACAAACATGCTGTTCTCAACCGCAAACCTCAAGCTCAGGAACCACATCAGTCAAAACCAGCGAGCAGCCTTTCTGGGGATACATGTACAACGCCACCTGTCCATGAGGGTCTAGGCTTTAGGACGCCATTAAAAATCGGGACTGTGTTGCAGCCTCCTACGAAAACGCAGGAAAGACGGCCACCGTAAACTGCATGAGACGAAGTGATGTAGGGGCCTTGATAATTAGAATAAGATTTTGCGGCCCACTGTACTATAATGATTATAAGGAGCCCTCAGAATAATATAGGTAATTAATTAGGCCCCTACATTACTGCGGAGAGGCGAGACCCAGAGAGCGTCGACCCCCCGCAGGTGAAACCGGAAGGGCGGCCCTGTTCAGAAGCAGGCAGCAGCCTAATATTCTTTTGACCTTAATATAGGGCTCAGGGTTTAAAGGTTTGGCCTAAATAATTACCAATACCATTTTCTGGATTCCTTGTTCTAGTTATAGTATAAAGAGCCCCAAAACCCAATTCTAATTATTAAAGGCCCCTACATGACGCTCATTGAAATGCATCGATTCGGGAATCGCGCTTGAGCCCAGGGTTCGGGTTCTTGAAGTAGGAGTTGGGATTAGGGGAACCCTTGGGGATATAGACCCCTTCTCAATAAGGTCCCTTTGTAAAGAGAGCCAGGAGTAGGGTTCAGAAGGGTCCACTTTAAGGGGTCTCCCAAGTAATACCTAGGATTAAGCTTCAGATCCAGGTTCCAGGGAACCCTAAACCCTAAACCCTAAGGGGGTTTAGCGCTTTTTTTGAAGTGCAATGACCCCCTTCACTCGGCAGGCCGCAGGTCAGGGTCTAGGTCTTTTTTAAAGGGTTTAGGTTTTAGGGTTTCGGGCTTAAGGCTTAGAGGTTTAGGGGTTTAGGGGTTCAGGGGTTTAGGTTTAGGGGTTTAGGGGTTCTGGGTTCGTGGCTCGGGGCTCAAGACTTGGTGGCTTGTGGGCTTGTAGCATATGTTCGACAGCGAAGTCGACTCCGACAAGTCTGCTACTAAACCCAACCATCAATCCGAAACCCTAAACCCTAAATCCGAAACCCTGAACCCTAAACTCTAAATCTGAAACCCAACACCCTAGCCTCCTCCACTCGCTCCTGCTGTCTGTAGCAGGTTATGGATGTAGGGCTTTGCGTCCCGAGCTAAGAGGCGGCTTGGAACCCTAGAATCCGTCTTGAACCCTCAACGTAGACCGGTTTGGGATTTCGGGTTTAGAGTTTCGGGTTTAGGGTTTAGGTTTTCGGGTTTAGGGTTTCGGGTTTAATATAGAGTCCTTCTTCACGGTCACTGAAACCGAGGGGTTGGGCAGCAGGCGATAACCGATGGCATCGTCACCATGCATGTCCAGAGCGAAAGTAACCGGAATATGCTCACCCCACTTGACATACTCCAACTGAGCGGAGCAGCGGCGCGGCATGTTCGCAAGAGCATCATCCAGGCACTCACGGCCTTCCCACCGGGTCGAGGCCAGATAGCCGGAAATCCATGTATGCCTTGATGTATCCCACATTTCCGATGCTGTCGAGCCAGCCTCCGCCCCAGGTCCAAGCCATACTCACTGGGATCATAAAGCTTGTCATGCAGAAGGCGAACACAGCGTAGGTGGGACTCTTGACACGCTCCGCCACGCATCCGCTCACGATGGTGGCGCCTACGTTCAGTCGCGAATGCATGCTGGTGAATCTAGGGCAAACACATGCATGAGAACCTACGGACACGTCTCGCTAGAAGAACCTGACAACTCAGGTTGGTGCCAGCTGCGCAGAAGGCCTAGGCAGTCCAGATACCCACTGGGACAAAGCTTAAGCTTATACTGCCTTGAGTTCGTTATATTTGTGAACTAGGAACCAAAAAATAGACAGTAAACACGGATCCCACTGAACATCCCAGAGGCCCACTGCAAGAACCAGCTCAGCATGGTGGACTGGCAATTCCCGTCCTCGCACTCCACCAGGACGATACTGCCCGATGCATCTTTGTTGTAGAAACCGAGGCCGAAGAAGCCATCTGTGCCAATCAAAGACCCGGCTTGGGAGCCATAGGCAAAGGCCCAGCCGGAGATCCACCAACCCAATGTGCCGACGGACACATTGGCTAGGACGTCAAGAGCTGCCGCGAGGCAAATCTTCATCCTCACCAAACCCGGTGGTCACGATGCGCTTCCATCTTCCTGTAAGTGCCGCTGTGCATGAAAATGGCTGCCGAGAGGATGAGCTCAGGGTTCAAGCAGACAGCTCACTGTCGCGGCCTACACCCTAAACCCCAAACCCCA